CGTATAAGTAGCTTATTTTTGGGCAATAGAAGTTTTTACATTTTTCTTCCAAAAAAGGAAGGTAGCTTATTTTCGGAATAGCTTATTTTCAGGAATATACGGTACCTTTATTGTTTCCCTAAAGTATTTTGATATTGGTTTAGGGTTTAAAGAAACTCATATCTTAAGCCAGACACTGCTGTCTAGTTAGGTTTATCACATAACAAAGTTAGTATTCTATTGTTGGATAACTTCTTCTACTTATCTGTTTAGATATTACTAACCTATATCTCAAGCTAGTATCTGCTACTGCAGCTCAATCACAGATATCTCAAATCTTAATGTTATACTGTATAGTTACTCAGCATCTTCTTCTGTTCTTCTAAGTACTATCTGCTATAGTAAAGTTTAGAATATATTTCACAAGTATTCAGAACAATTCTAATTATACTCAAGGAGTTCACTAACTTTAGTGATACTATACTACCATATAATACTTGCTTTTAGCATGTTGTTATACAATACTAGAACAATTCTAATTATGCCTAGGGAGTTATACTGACTCCAGTGATATTATACTACTATTTGTATTGCAAATCCCAAAGATTAATAGATTCTAAACTTATTTGTTATAGACTTCTATATAGGTGTGACCAGAACCTGATTCAGTATCTTTATATATATACAGAATATTAAACAACCTCTATAATTTTTGTATCTATAGTATCTTTTATTCTATATTGCCAGAGGTGCTTCTAACTCTAATAAGGCCAATTCTTTATTATAGATTATCTATATATTTACCACTTTTCTTACTACTTTCAATTTTAGTTATATTGATTATCCTTTCAAACAAGTACCTGTATCTTTATTCTTAGATAAGGACTTATTTGCGTAATCCATTGACTACCCTTTCAAGCAAGTACCTCACAAGTTAAGTATAGAAATATTAGTATTGCCAAACCTGAAAATACAAGGATATTAATACTGTTCTGTCTTTTAAGAATTTATTCATATAATCTTTATAATCACAGTCTTCTGTAATACTGCAGTTATACATAATCTTACTCTCTATATTTGGTTTCCTTCTGAGAATTCCTATTCTCATTTCATACTTGCACTTGGATTTAGCCACAAAGTTTCATATTTAATTATAGGCCCTGAAAGTTATAGAAACAAATTATACAGTACAATTTGCCTCCAGTCTAACTTGAACTGTTGACCTTGTCTGTAAGGGTTTGAGAGCTTAACCAATAAACTATGAAACCCAAACCTTTTTAATTAATATACTTGTTTTGGTATTTTTATATTTTTGTTTGTTTTTTTAGATTATTTTATAAAATACTAGATTTAGACAGAATTTTTAATTATAATCTAAATATATATTAAAAATACTTGACATTATAGCAAATCAAAAGTATTTTGTAAAACTTAGTAAATACTATTTGGGTCGCAACTATATATGCCACTGAAATTGGGTTTAAAAAAAAGCCTATTTCATCTTTATTAAAACAAATTAAAATTTTTATATAAAAGAACAAATCCAGAAAGAATGCGCGAAAGTATGTAAAATAATTACCCATTTTCAAGGATGTAGTATTTTATAAAGAACGGTTTATTTTATATGATTTCAATACCATTCGATTCGTAAAAACCTCAGCCATAATTTTGTCATAAAGAACACTATGTATTTCAACTAAAGTTTCAGGCAAAAATTTTAAAACTACAACTTCATCGATTTGTGTAACTTATGAAAATCATATGATAAAATTTTAGATGTGACAAATCGGGCGTCTAAGATTTTACTTTGGCTATATTAAAAAACAAGCATGTTGTACAGCAATATGTTTATGTAACAATTTCACGCCAATTCATCTACCTCAGAAAAAGCACAAGATGTTTTTTTTCTTCAATACTAATAAAATAAATCATTCACTTATCAAAATTTACGATCCCTACTGGCCGAAGACGATATGCAAGATCGAAACATTATGTATGTACGTACGTATGTACGTACGTACGTACGTATAAAACTAGTTTGTCAAAAATATAACCCGGTTAGTAACATCTTTCGGTCGAACCCTAACGCCCTAAGTAGAATAAATCTAATTTATCGGCAGTGACATCTAATATTATACGTGTAACATAATCAGGTGATATAAATCCTTTTGGCTAATTCAACTTTAATTAACGAACTTAAAACGAATTTCAAAGTAACCTATTTTTTTAAAAAAAAAACAAACAAAATGACGGATGCGATTGACTACTGGTAAACTTAAACAAGAGAATATCATTTGAGAATGGAATACTTTTAATACTCACTTTCATCGTTTAAACCTAAAATAGCCCTGTATACGCTCCCATCTTTGGCGCCTTAGGCTGTACCTCGGCTATTGTGTTTGCATGTAAGTGCTTTGTCGAGAATCTTTACTCGTTTGCTATTGCGTTGAATTATTGATTTCAAAGGCTCTGACGATTTAATCTCTCCTGGGAAACATGCAATTATTATTAATCATTTCTTTGAAATTTAAAAGGTTTTGGGGCTGCATATGGCACGGCAAAGTCAGGCGTGGGTTTATCAGCGATGGGTGTATTGCGTCCTGATTTAATTATGAAGTCCATAGTACCAATTGTTATGGCGGGTATTATCGGTATTTATGGATTAGTCGTGGCTGTATTGATTTCTGATGGCCGTAAGTATTCAATAATTTGATTTATAGAATTGTGATTTTTATAAATAATATTCCAATTTTGTGGATTTTAATATTTTCTTGTTCACTAATGTAATATTGCAAATTTTAAAGTTAAACAAAAAATGTCACTATACACGTAAGTTATCGTTAATTCTATAACTATATGTGTAAACCTTGGTTATTGAATTATTTCATAATTGTATACGAATATCGAATAGTGGATTTATTCAACTCGGCGCAGGCTTAAGCGTCGGTCTCGCAGGGCTCGCCGCCGGATTCGCAATCGGAGTTGTAGGTGATGCAGGTGTACGTGCTACTGCACAGCAACCACGATTATATGTTGGAATGGTGAGCGAATAAGTTAAATTAAAATATAATTGCACGTATTTTAGTAATCAAACTTATCGGGCCTTTTTTTTTTTTTTGAAAACAGATTTTAATTCTTATTTTCGCTGAAGTATTGGGTCTTTATGGATTAATTGTTGGATTGATTCTTAATACCAAATCTAGTGGTTCTTGTTAGTAAGAATTTATAAGCTTAGCCGGGTTAATAATTTTGATACGGCTAAGCCGGTTTAGTGCGCTATTGTCTCAGCAAATTATATCTGCCAATAATATTTCAAATTTTGAACTATAAACTATAATCCGGAAACTCCCGCTGACCACGCACATATTTATTCTATGCTGATTTACATTCCGAAACTTCCAATTATTTTTAGAGTAAATCTAGATCTCGCATCCCATTGGTACCTTTATTTCTCGCAGGTCGCATGAATGATTTTTATTGGCAAATAAATTGGTTTATTTAAAATATTAATAAAATAAAATAAAAAGATAAAACATTGTCGTTGAGTGCCATGGTGCGAAAAAGTTGGCAGCTCCGTGATTGATTTACAGCATTGATCTTGATGTTAACCTAACGCTAAGTGTTCAACTAAACGTAAATGCTAACGCTAATGCAAAATATATAATATAGAATATATAATTTTGTTCTAAACCTTTATCTAATAGTTGAAAGCGAACTAAAATCTGGATTTAATTTTTTTCCCATCTTTAGTTTGTATGTTACGCTTGCTTTACAATCGGATTGGGTAGCTTTAGACTAGTGATACAAACGACCGGTTTAGCTCGGCTTAATTTTGACCAAGCCGAGCATATTTTTCGACTCTGCTAAAGCCTTGTACCGACGTGACTTTTTCTATGTAGATCACCAATCAAAATCATGAAATTTTGTTTACACGGATCAGCCCGAAGAAATCAAAAAATCAAAAACTTTAAAAATCACATTGGTACAAGGCTTTAGCGATCCCCCTCACAAAGTATAACACGGTTACACAAAAAACAAAAAAAAACAAAAATTTATGCAAATCAACGACGGTAATATATTGTGCAAATTAATACGTACGTATACGTATACGTATAAGATTACAATATTAATACATAATGATTATATACGTAGCATAAATTATTACGTATTGCTTTTTTGCATAAATTTTTGTTATGTTTTTTGTGTAACCGTGTTATACTTTGTGAGGCAACTGTACGTAATAAATTTATGTATAAAATTTTTAAAATTTATCTTCAATAATTTTATAACCAAGACCAAAATGTGTGTTTAAAAAAAGATTGCATTTAGAGGTTTGACTATATAATATAGTCGAAATTCGTTTATATATTTTACTTTCTATAAATACATACCCCTATAAATACATACCCCTCTAAATACATACAGTACCGGACAGCTAAAGATATCCACTTTTTACATATAAAAATATAAAAAGGCTTATAACTCAACAACAAATAACTTTAAAAA